CCATATTGCCTGCAGTACCCGAATCTTTCACCAGATGGCAGAAGATAGCGTCAGAATTGATAGAAATGGTATTAGGGGAAGACAGGAGTTGTGCGGTGGCCATAGAAACACATCTGTGTGATACATTTGGCATAATCCGGTTTAGTACTCCATTTATACAGGATTGGACTGTTTCTAACTATAAAACTTAACTCACCTTTTCTACCAATATAGCTTTTATCCAGTAGCTTTTGTTTAGTTTGTGTTTTGGAAAGCTTTTGGCCTTTCAGTCTTACCAATGGGAATATGTTGTTTAGTGTCTCCAGAACATTGTGATTAGTCAACAGTAGAGGCATTTAGTTGCTTATTGGACATTTGTAAGTAGATATTTCACAAGTGATGACTGGTTAAACCTTTCAGTATTTTGGTAAGACAAGTTCTTAATATCTTTGTGATGACAGCAGGGAGTCAGAGTTCAAAGTCTTTAGTCCGATGATCCCAAATAAATCATTATTTGAACTGCAATCGAGTCTGCAGTTCAAATATCTCACAGACAAACACAAATAATAGGAGATTGAGCTTCATTTGACTGGTGTTTTCTGTAAAAAAAAAAAAGATATCACATAGATTACAATTATGACTTTAAATTAAACAATTAACCAACAAGATTCAGTTTAGTTATGGTAGTTAAAAAAAAAACTAAAAAAACATTCAATTTTCTCTGTACAATTTTCTACCTAAGAAGTAATAGGAAAATATCACATTTTAGGTTATTTTATGGAAAACTTGGACATTTTCAATGGAATGGAAATGTTCTTGAACACCTTCATTATCTACAATCAAAAAGGTTTCTGTTAATATTTCATATTTTTAAGAATTGAGACCAGAATGAGTCATTAAATAAATTGTTCAAATATTAAACTGCAAACAAATCTGTTGTAGAGAAAAATCTATATTAAAAAATATATAAATAATAAAGAATGGTGCAAAATCTTTGATCACAGCCTTAGACAAACACTTTGTTGAAACATCTTTTGATTTTCTTTCAGAATTTAACCTTGGAGTCTATTGGGTATTCTCATGGTAAATGGATAATAGTTTCCTTTCAATGTGACTACAGCAGTTCAAACTTTTTGCCACAAGGGAGAAAATTATGACGTTAAAGACACCTGCAGAGCCTAAGAAATATATTTAAAAAAAGTAAAAAAACAATGTTAAAAAAATTCATTGTACCTCTTTCATTTCTTTTTCCACTTTATTATTTCAAAAATGAATTTTTAAAAAATATTCAAATGAACAAAATTTTCAGATTTTTGTGAAAAAGTGATCCATAAAATATTGTAGATCCAAAACATACGTTCGTTTTTGTGGGTTGAATGTTTTTGTTTTGCACATCACCAAGCCATATTTGCTCCATTGCAGGATTGTGATCTGGGGCCACATGAAACCGATAACAGGGTGTCAAATGGCCCTCGGACCACACTTTGGACAACCTCGCTCTATAGATTTTTCAGTCAGACTTGCATCTAGCTTTTCCAGAACCTTCATTTCCTTGCGGTAAAGCCATTGCTTTGTTCATTTGACTGTCTTGAACCCCCTGTGAAAGATAAAAACCATCTCCATCCTCAACCTCTTGTAGACACCAGAAGTTTCTCTCTCTCTCTTTCTCTCAGGACTTACCCAAATCAACAACATGGCCATTTTTCACTTGGAAAACCCATTTGGGTCTAATGTTTACTAATGTTTAACTCACTGGCTGATGTCTGAGTTGTTGCTACAATATTTCCATATAATATAGAAGTATTGCAGCTCAAAGGGCACCAATCCCTCCTACAATATCCACCCCCAGACATGATGCTGCCACCCTCGTACTTCACAGCTGGCATGGTGTTTCCTGGTTTGCAGTCTTCAGTCTTACTCTTTGATCATCACGAGCAGCAGAATGTAGACAAGACAAGAATGTACACAAGTCATTTATTCCAAGTCTCAAGTTTTGCTTTGCACCAATTCAGAGTCAAGTTGAAACTGAAATTTCTCAACAAATCTCGGATGTCTGGCGCATCTTTGTCCCGGCATTGACGTAGGTTAGGATGCTAACAAGAGCAGGTTGTTGTGAGGCAGCAACATCCCATAATCCACCACTGTCAGTGGCTGACAGTGGTGGATTATGGGACAGTGGTGGATTATGGGATTACTACATGTCACAGCAAAGACATGTAGCTCACATACCGGCCTCCTTTCCCTCTTCATTACAAGAGATAAAAACTGTTAAGACTCGATTCTCACACCAGGTGTTCAAGTCAAGTCTCTAGTTTTTAGGGCACAACTCTTAGTTGGGTTGGAAGTATTTTATTTTAGTGACTTAATTAACTCTGAAGTCTCAAACTTGTTTGGCCAGAGATTATCACTCGAGTTTGACCTTTCGGCCCTTGTTGGTATAGGAGTTGTTTCATGGTAAACTGTGACATTCTTTTACTTGTTTAGACCAACATCTTCACAAGATTGGCTTTTGTTCTGAGTTTGATATACACATTTCACCCGTCTCCTTCCTGAACTGTATGATGAGCTTTTCCAAGCTGGTTGTAGACTGTATCTTTGGTCTAGTTTTTAGAGTAAATATCTTAGTACAATTAAAATACGACAAACTAACTTACAAGTAATTTTTTTTTTTTTTGCAATATATAGGAGCTTGTTTTAAGGCAATACTTCCTCAATATTGATAAATCAGTACTAGTTCCACTGGCAGATTATTTCACTTATAACAAGACATTTTTACTATGTAATAATCTGCCAGTGGAACTAATATTTTCTCATCAATATTAAGTAATTATTGACTCAAACCAAGCTCCCATGTCTTTTCTTGGAAGTTAGTTTGGTCTTTTTCCAAGTGTGCTATTATATTTGGACTAGAATACTAGACCAAAAATACTTATTTACATATAATGATGACTCCTCCAGGTGAGATACAAAGTATTTCTGGGGACGGACCAGAGTTTTGGTGGAGCTCCATAGATTTCTTCTCTTTAAAGCCATGATCATATTTATCTTTGTAAACTTCAGAATTTGAATAAAGTAATTAGCAAATATGGAAATAAATCTGATAGTGCTAGCTGAACTAAAACTGTACGTAAATATCTAGTCCCACTTTAATGGTGCCTTCCTCTGACTGATACCTTTATACAAGTTTATTTTGATCCTTTGTGGCGATCCGTTGTCACCGCTCTACAAAAGAATAAAAATGAGCAGTAGTCCCTCAGTTGACTTTTACTCCAGGTTCATCAGATTCATCATAAGTGGTGGTAAGTGTGAACAGAGCAAGACTGAATGCTGAAACTAAATCCAAAAGTGTTTCACCAAAGTGTCAGTGTGCACAGTTATATAACCAGGTTATTGCAACATTGTTCACACATTTCCTCCAAACTGATTTGTTTCTGAATTGTTAACCCTGAACCGGTCTTCACCCCGTGTCATCATGACTACTGGCTTCACTATACCCTCAATATATACAAATGTTACATGAAAGATTCAACAAGTTTGGAATAATTCACTGTTTTCAAAAGTTTCAGTCTCAAAGATCTGGAATTTTAACAAAGGCTTTGAGAGCCACAGGAAATTAACTATTTGTAATTTGTTTTTGTCTTCAGAGGAAACATTACTTCCATTTTATGTGCAGTTAGTTGGCAAAACCTCAAATTGCAACCGATGTTTTGTTGAAAGCTATTTAAAGGAACCTATAGATTATCTTTCTATTCTATATTTCTCTGTGGTTTCTGACTGCACAACATGCTCCAGTTTAATTTTGTTCTAATAATGGCCTAACTGAGTTTGAAACCTATACAGCTTCAAAAGACGAAATATTAAGAAAGATCTAAGTAGCAAACTTATAGACGGTGCATTTTTATTTCTATCTGTGCAGCTTGCATTGAAAGAAGCTTGATGTGATTTATATCTGTCTGCATCCAGCTGATTAACGGAAAAGGGTTTTGTGCAGATATGCAGCTGAGCTGCCGGCTCGACTAGATGTTTAACCAAGATGGAGGCATATCTTTAAAGGCAGCGCTTTCACAAGCAGCATTGTGATATGAATTTAGTGAATACTGGAAAGAGATGCAACCACATGTGTGCTGATTGCAGAGTCTGGAAGCCGTCGGCCAGGCAAGATTGCCTGAATTATGCTGCTGAGTAAAAACCGGAACACCTTCAGATGTGTGGTTTTGGAAAAAAAAAATAAAAAGACGCTATCTTATAACTTATGAAACCTTCTTCTTGTAGATGTTAATTTAGTGAAAGGCAGAGAGACAAATCAGCCAGCTTCTGATTCACTGCCACTGAAGTAAAAGCTGACCTGAAAGCAACAGCTGTTAGAGGCCAGAACATGTGACTGAACCCACAACAATAAAACACAAACTTTTTTCTCAAAAACTTTGCAGGTTTTTTTTCCGCCCAGGTATCACCAGCCAGCCCTTCTGATCTCAGCACCAGAGGCCAACTTCTAAAGAAGGCCGACCGCATGGGCAAGAAGAAACACGAAACCTTTCAGAAAAATCAACCTGCAGACATGCAAGACCCTCTTGATGTTCACACAGGAAGGAAGCAAGTCAACACTGCTACTGCTGTTACCCCTCGTTCTGTTAGCCAGGCTGCACATTTTCACACTCTACTAACCCGACTTTGTGGTGTACTCTGCAACGAACGGATTAAAACTGAGAAAGAAAAAAAAGAAAAAAAAACGAGACTAGTCAGAAGAAAAAACATGCATATTTCTCTTGCAGGTCTATGAATAATCATTTAATTACAAATTCACATGAATAAATGTTTGAGTCTGACATTGCCGCCTCTCTGCCTTAGTGGAATCTATGATAGTGAAGCTCACCATCAGCAGAAATACGCAAATACTTTCCAGTGGTCATAATCAAAACTAGCGTGGGCGTTCCACCCAAGGCAGACTATACTCAATTATGAAACACAGTCAGATTTCACAAAAACATTCATCATTTTACTTTTGCTTCAACACACAAAAATCTGCTTAATACATTCCTTTATTATTATTATTATTATAAAAAAAAAATAAATCACCTATCCTATATTACAGGCATACAGACGAAAATAAATACTGAAAATGCTACTAAATCAGCATCTTAGTGTCAACTAACTCGACATTTTCCATGAAGGCAAAAAACCTGAGGTGTAAAAATGCTGTTTATTTCTCTGTGCTGTTTTGCTTTGAGCTGCCAATGAACAAAAAAGTGCACCGTCATCTTTGGGTTTCTATATTGCAAAAAAGAATATGTATATATATTTATATAGTCCAGGTATAACGGATAAAGAAAAATACAATCAAAGGATCTCTTTGTGGAAGTTATGAGTAAGCTTTCCTCCTGATTCAGAGCAAAACTACTGCACAATGAAACAAAGCTGGAACAATCGAAACTCTTCAGATCTTGTACAGACCAAAGAAGTTGCCATAATGTGAGTGGCTGAGATAGGTCGGGTGCGACACGTTCACGTAGACCCTGTCGAACTTCATCAGCTCCAGGCCGCCGCCGAGGTAGCTCTCTGCAGTCCACGGGCTGTTGGGTTTCTGGACGCAGAAACCCGACCTGTGGGCCTCCATCAGAGTCAGGGGTTTGGACTGTCCCACCCGCCTCACGAACATGACGTGATTGAACCAGGAGGTGGGGTGGCAGTTCTTGAAGATCAGCTCCACTCGAGAGTAAACGTGGTAGAGCCCCGACTCGTTGACCTGCAGGGCACCATCTTCGATTTTGTAAGCGACCGACCCGGAGGTGAAGGCCTGGCCTGCTTTCGGTTCCCATCGCAAAGTCATTTGGGACGGATGATACTCGGTGCGCCCTGCAAGGGAGACGTTTACATTAAGCAACGTGGACTTAAGACAATCAACGATTCGTCCTCGGGTTAATAGGAACCTCACCGAGAACATGAGCCGAGGGTCTCTTGGTTTTCTCTTCTGTTTTCTCTTCTCCATTTGAGTCGGGGTTATAGAGACCTGAAATGGCCGTCAGATTAGCTCACATCAACTGTTTTTGTTCACCATCAAGAACATTTTCAACATAAAGGACGGCTGCGTGTGCGGAGAACACAGTGTTCCCATACCAATTTGCTTCTGGGGTCCATGAGACTCAGTCACGGGATCAGGTTCAACCTTGAGGGGAATAAAAGAAACAGAAAGTCAATACCACATCACACAGAAGAAGTGCATCTCAGTTGGGTTTTTTTCTAAAGCTGACAGCTCTGCCGCGGCACATGTTGAGATAGAGGATATCCTGTCTGAATGGACGGGTGACCACAGTGGAACAGCAAGAGGCTCTGGCTTGCATTTTAAATGTCAGAGTTCACAAGTGAAGCTATTTTCATTTTAAACAGTTTCAAATTAATTATTAAACATTGCAGGTCAGCCCAAACTTTCCAGCCTTGGTTCCATTCTCCCACCTGACACCTCCCTGGTACCACCTCCATATGTAAAGATACTTTCAGGTCTTGCTACTGAACAGTGCTCACAAACAAATGAGTCTTGGCAAACATATTTGTTCCTTATCAACAAGAAGAGCTTCAAGAAAATATTCTACACAATGCAAAATCCCGTTTCTTAAAAATAACAAATTCTGCAATTTACTTTTGTGTGTGTGTGTGTGTGTGTGTGTGTGTATGTGTCAGTCCTTACCCTATTTTTGAGTTTTTCCTGGAGTCTCAGGATCTGCCAGGCTTCAAAGCCCAGGGCTGCGAACACCAGCAGGAACAACATCAGCACTATCATGACCAGGCTGCAGCTGACCCCCATGCAGCCTCGGCTCTTGCTGCGGCTCCTCACGGTCTCCCGGGCCTGCGGAAACGACCAGCATGGGATGAGGTTCGGCTGCGTTGCCGACTCACCCCGACCGCCGCCCTCGTCCACCAGGAACACCTGAGGGAACGGGTACCTCTGGTCATAGCTCATGGTGCAGGACCCTACTGGGAGGACAAGTTGTCTGCGAGTCTGACTGCTCTGAACTGAAGGAGGTGTGGACTTGTGTCTGAGAAACCCTTTTCACGTCGAACCCAAGAAGCTGTCAGAGCATTCACCACCCACTGCCTCCCACGCCTCCCTTTTAGTATTCAGCACTAAACTAAAATTCGTCAATTGAGAAGCAGCCACTCTGATTAGTTACACAAACTGATCTGTTTGGTTTTGCTTCCTAATCTTTCTCAACATAACCAGGTGACTTTGGGTCTATGTGCAAACCTTTCTTTATGTAGTTATGTAGGTTAGCTGCACCTGCCTGTAAAGGAAGTTTGAGGTCTAGCTGACCCTTACCTCACTAACCGCCCTCTTCTCTTCTACATAAAGAGACCTTTTCTCAAATTCCACGAAAGGAAAGATTGAGCAACATCGCCCGTCGGGAGCCGTTTTTCAGTCGAACGCAAAAATAGCTGACCCTCTTCTCACCGAGTCGGACTCTGACCCAATTAAACGTGCTTTCTGATGTATTCTTTATCTGTGTCATGATGGATGGGTGGCCCTGCGTGTTGGTAAACAGTGATACAGCAGTTTCAAAAGCACACCGCGTGTTCTCGGTGGGAAGAAGCGGCTGCCACATGAAAAGGAACGAGCTCCGTGCATTGGGTTGCGCGCTGTCTGCTTCAGAGAGACTCATATAGAGACGTTCGCTGAAACAGACGAAGCACAACGCCGGCCCGTTCCTCTCAGACAGTTCGCAGGAAGGAGCACATGAGCCAGGCTTCCTTCCACCGGACTGACACCCAGTGCTGCTGCTGCAGTCTTCACAGCAGTTTGGGTTTGTTTTGTTGGATATTGAGCAAGTGCAATGCGGCTTCAGTTGCGGATGCAACATTTTCCACTTGCAAGACTATCTGCTATCAAAAGAAAAGCAAAGACATGCTGATGGCATATCGTATGGTCTTTTCAAAGCCCCTTGGGTGGTTTGGTTAAAAAAAAAAACTTGTTTTCAGATGAAAAGATAGGTGAGAAATTCCTGCATGTGATATTTTGTGAAGCAAATAGACAGCCATACTGAAACTTCACTCCATGCTGCAAAATGGAGGCAAACCTCATGTCAAGTGAGGAGAAACTATTCTCTTGTGAGGTCTACCTGTCATCTACACACAAAAGCCTCCAGGGTTTCCACAGCAAGGTGAGCGTCAGAACGGCGCTGCGTTTTCTTTCGTTTCTCCAGGCTGAAGCAGCCGAAGGGAAACCCAGCTCGCAGCGTGCACACGCAGCTCCCAAGTTAAAGGGCAATTACGTCAAGCTTAACCATAAACTTCACAGACTGCCAGTAGCCTGCAAGCTGATGTGCCTGTTTCCCAGAAGCGTCATGCTGAAACGGGCGCTCGCAGCAACACTAGCGGCAGCAGCAACACCGAGTCGGCAAGGTGGGAGGGTGGGGTTTTGGGGTCTAACCAGCAGGCTGCTGCTCCAGTTATTATAAGCAGGCGAGTGTAACAAAAACGAATCTCTGAATCAGCAAGAGCGTTTCTTCGTCATTGTGTTTCCCACCGTCTTCCTCTCTTTGGCTGCAGGTAGCTGTGGTCTGGATGACTGATGACACAAATAAAGCAGAATAAATGACAATGAAGTTCGTTACCTGGAGAGAATGACACTAAGTCAGTTTTTTTTTTTTTTTGAAAACGGATATTTGGTTTTGCACGGCACATTTGATGAATTACCATTTCATAAGAAGTTCCCTGGCAAACGCATTTGTGCCATGCGAAATCTTGTAATGACAAAGCAATGCACTTTAATATATTGATTTTGGATTTATGTGATAGACCAACATGAAGCAGCACATAATTAGTGAAACAAAAGAATACATACACATATACCTAGCAAGAATATGCATATTCTTACTAAATAAACTTACAAATAAACCTGCGTTCTTCCCTTCAGGTTTGTCCTGTGTTAAAATTCATTAATCTTCTTACAAACTCTGCCAGCTTCCTTTTCTCTGATATGACAAAAAAAACCACATAATGATGAGGCCACCACCGTGCTTCACTTTAGGGCACACCTGCAGTGAATGCCAATGTGCACATTACACATTAGTAGCTATTTTGTTGATAACATGACACAAGTGTAATGTTTGACATTGTTAATTTTATTCTTACGTGCAGTTATGTTTTGAACGTCCAACTTTGTTAAATGCATTTTTTTTGTCATCCTGGTGCTGAGGGTGGGCACTGCAAGATGTGCAATGGTGTGCAACATGACCACAGACAGGAAGTGCTGATCAGGCAACACTAAGTGCATTTCTGTCAAGAGGAGCACAGAACGGCCATTTTCCCTGAATCAGTTTAAATCAATTTATGCATCAGTTTTTATTGATGCATTGAATCATTGACTTGAAGTTCTGTTTGGTGTATAACTAGATGTTTGTATTGTTTTAGTTTATTGTAAGTATTGGGGGTTTTTTGGGGGGCTATTTTGTGCCAAACTGCTCAGATCAGTCAGTTTTTTTTTATTCATCGTTGTCTTTTGTTGGGTAGCTCAGTTTTTTTTTTTTATTAACCAGTTTACAGTTATAGTGTTAAACTTTGTTCAGTTTATTTTACGTATTTTAAGGACACTGTTACCAATTGTTATCAATTGAATATTTTTCTTTAATTTTCAGGTAACTAAACTCAACTTTAAAAAAAAAAACATCTATATCCTCATGGCTTACATGTTCAGCCCGTTACAGAAGGTGTTTTCAGGATGGCTTATGAGGTTAGTTCCCAAACACACAACCATGTGAAGGTGAATATTGACTTTGATTTTATTTGACATTAACATGCTTGTTTTATCTTCCAGGCACAAATGGATTTCTGACATCTTTCTTTGTTGTCACGTTTCCATGCAAGTCAGATCTACAGATTGCATGACTAAATATTTTCATGAATGAAGTATGGATTTGTGCAGCTCCCCCTGAATTACCATAATCATCAGAATCACTTCTGAATAATGTCATCGTTGCCTTTTCAGTGTAGGAGGAGGGGATGTCACGCAGTGTTTGCAGTTTAACCACTCTTTCCATTCCTGGTCGTTGGACTAAAATGTCTGTGCAAGGCGTTCGAAGCTCTGGGTCCTTTTTTTTTAGTTCCACAAACGTAAACTCTATTTATTATTTGCATTTGGATTTTATGCAAATAAAATCCAAGGTGTACAAAGGCACACCTCACTTTTTTAGCTCTCTTTTGTAAAATTGTTGCAAACTGTGCATCACTTCAAGGTTATGAAACAAAAATTTCAAACTGCTGCCACACTGTTTGAAGCCACAAGACTCTTTTTGTTAGACTATAACAAATTACAGTATTGTACTTACTTAGGTCACAACCAAACAGTAGAAGGTAATTAAGCCCCCACTAAGACAAAAAAAGTCATTTGAAAGTGTCACCTATATTATGAAATAATACATAAGAGGAAAGCTCTCAGTAGAAGTGTCATAATCGTTTATTCATTTTAGTTTTATTATAACTTATTTTAGTGCTCTGTGTGCTTCCATTTGTCTTTAATTCTGGCATTTAGAATAAATCTTGTTTTTCTAAAACAGATTTTTTTTTTACAGTGCAAGCATAGATCTGATCCAGGCAAACCAACTCAGCAACAGTTCTCTTCAATTTAATTCTAATTCTGGTGCTTTCGGATTATATTTTCTGTGGCGATCAGTTACAGCCAAGCAGTAAAGACAGCAGGTTTTTTAATTTTTACCACAGTACAACGAAGCGTTCTGCGGTGCAGAGCCCAGAATTATTAGTGATGGTTATATTTAAGTTCTGTAAGGACCCCCTCAAACATTTGATGGTACATCTCAAGGAGTCATCTTTGAAATAAATAAATACGGTAAATAAAAAAAAAAATTGGAAAACACGTCGACGGGGGAACTCAGGCCAACATAACAGCGTAATTGAGACATCTGCAAGAAGCTAACGTTTTTTTTTTTGTTTTTTTTTGCCTATGCTATGTTCTTGTGACAAATGCAGCCTGTAATTCAAAAACAAAGATATGTTTTAAAGAAATTTGACCATCATTACAAAATATAATATTTTAATTGAGGTTACACACTTTTTAACAAAACCAAAAAAAAAAAATCACTACGTGTTAGTGTCCTCATCAGAAGAGGAGTAACAATCAAGTCCCAGTATGTGTCCACTCTTGTCCTCTGTTAGCCCCGAGTCAGACGCCGCTGCACAGCTCGCGTTGTTTTCTTGAACAGCGCTTTGATCCGTTTTCACCGCAGAACCACTTGTGGGCTTCTCATTTCTCTCTGGGCTCCAGCTTTTAAACTCAACCGTTTGCTGTGAGTGGAACTTACTGAGGTTGGGAAGGCCAGACTGCAGCATCCTGGCGAGGTTCTGTGTTTGGGAAGAACTCTGGCGCAGAGCCGGTCCTCTGAATGCAGCTGCAGCCACCGCCAGCCGCGTCCGGTCGAAGGAGAGTGGCTGGTCCTGGACTGAACTGGCGTCTGAGATGGCGCCAGTGGGAGCGAGGCTGTGAAGCCTGGTTTCTGAAAAGCTGCAGGTTGCCGCTGTTGCTAAGGACCGAAAACATCCGGGAGAATCACTTGCAGAGTCACTCTCACCTCTGCTCTTCTGGCTCCCTTTATCATACAGCTCATTAAGTCGAGGGTTTTTATCTATGAATAGGAAACATAGAGACAGTTAATTAATCATCAGTAGTTTGAGAGATTTCTCTGCAACTCAAAACATAATAAAAAAACAACAACTCTGCTATCTGAACTTGTTGCTGTGACGGTGATATGTCACACTACGTGGCTCAAAGGATATAAATAGAACTGATTTGCAGTATGTCTTAGATTATCCAACATTATATTCTTCTTCTTACATATAAAGTTTAAGAATCAAGCTACATCACATACAGTTCCTCACAAATGTGAGACAGAAGTATGATAAGCACTTGTGAACAATGTAATTATTTAAAACAGCTGAATATTCTGATATGTGCAGGCAGCACAGTAGATTTAACCTTAACTTTTACTCATTGCTCATTTCTGCAGCATGCACCGAAGCTGCCAATATTGTGTTTACAGCAGTAGCGCACAGGAGGGCTTAAAGTGACTTTAAGCACAGCGGTGTTTAAAGCTTAGTTAGTGGTTTCTAAATAAGCTTTAGAAACCACTTATTAGTTTCTAAAGCTTATTTAGAAACTAATAGGCGATTTTTCAGGACAGTGAAGCAACTAAATTAGTCATCAGATAGTCTAGATATTGGCACTTTCATTTTCTGTGACAACCAAAGCCAGTGTTGTGGTACTCGAAGTTGGTCTTGGTCTT